CAATGAGACCACTGCCCCCCAGACTGCAGTGGGCCTGGGACATTTAAGTATTTAGTGGGATTCCACTTTGCCCATAAGATTATGAGCCTTCATGGATTTCCACTGGAGACATGAATCTTAATTTCCATTCAAAAACTCCACCAGTCTCTGGCTCAGGCTCAGTCCATGAAAAGCCTTTTACTTCAGAAGAAGGCTGCTGTTTTTGCAAACCTAATTTGATTTCATGATACAGTCTAGACATAGCCTAGAATTCAATTTTTCCATTTAACTTTTCCAGTCAATACGAATATAGGATATTTCTTAAAAGACTAAAAAGAGAATTGTAAGGAAGGAATATATCTTATATTTAGAAAGTGCCCAATCAATCAGAATTGTATGTTTTTTTTTATTAACATATAGCTAGCACTGTGATATCCAATACAGTAACAACTAACTGTGTTGCCATTGGAATTGAAATTAATGAAAACTAAGTAAAATTTTAAATTCAGCTTATGAGTCATATTAGCCTCATTCAAAGTACCCAGTGGCCACCTGTAGCTGCTGGCTGTCTTATTAGACAGTGCAGGGGTAAAAAGTCATCTGCAGGTGTCAAAAATCATCTGCACAGAAAGTTCTGTTGGACATTGCTGCTCTTGGGGGAAAACATTTATTAACATCATAGTTTCTGTTCCCTCTCTCGACCCTCCCTTTGTTCTTCAGTTGCCAAAAAGAGTTTTTATCTCTGCCAGGAAGTAGGCAATTGACTGCTTACTCTTGGCTAAAGGTTGATAGAGAGCATAAATTCCTAGACATCCCAAAGGGTATTATTCTTCATTAGCATGTATCTTCTGTGTGAAATCACCCACCAGGGAAAGGCACATGCATTCAAATGCCTGGAATCACTAGGTGGTTTAATCGTACCCACCCTGGTGCAGTTATGTATCACCTGAGTTAATCCATGTCTCCTGAGCTTTCCAAATGGATGAATGAATTCATTCTTTTGTAGCATTGCTCTGAGTTTAAATCTGGAAGCCTGTGCCCTCCTTGTCCCACTCCTCCCACCCCAAGCTAGCATCCTATGCCCCGACTCTGCTTGGAGCTCCGGGAGAGCACGGGCATGGATTATTAATCTCTGTATCTGCAGCACTTTGCCAGGGCATGGCAACTGCAGTGCACCCAGTGAATGTTTGTTGAAGAAATTAATTAATCAATTATGTAATCAATCAAGATGCCTTCAGTTTTCCCCATAGGACTTTTACTAATTATTCCTACAGAGAGTTCATTCCCCAGCACAGTGATTCACAGAGCTGGCAGCACATTAGAATCACCTGGGGAGCTTTTAGAACCCAATATGCAGGGCCCTCTCTAGATCAATAGACTTCAAATCTCTGATGGCTGGGGTTGGGCATCAGTAGTTTTGTAAAAGCCTCCCCAGTGGATTACATTGTGCAGCCAGGGGTGAGAGCCCATGCAGGTGTCTGACTCGGCAACCATAAATAAGTTTTCATTCCATTTGACATGTTCGCCCCCAGTCTTCTCTCATCCACTGTCTTTTTTGCTGCAAGAATAACATGCATCTGATCGTATTGGTAACCTTCCCTCAGTTCCAGAGTGATTACGTCCCCACTGCTTCAAAACCAGATGATGGGAAGATCAGACTCCCTGCAGGAGCTTTATGTCAATGTCTTAATGAAGATGCAGGCCAGATGTGTATCAAAACAACACAGGAGAATCCCTTCCATTAAATCTTCCTGAAATTTTAAGTCCTGGGTAAATTTGACGTCACGTTGCACTTTTAAAAACAGATGCAAAGTTTTGGGCATGCTATGATAGTAAGTGTGAAAATATATTTACAAGGGGAAAAGTCATACAGATAAATGAAACTCTAGTAGTAATTGTGGCTAAAAGGAAGAGTTGGGGATTTGGGGAGAGAGGGCATGTGTTCCTGGTTCTGCCTGAGAGAATCCGCAGGGAGAAAGTATACTGGATGTTACAGCAGCAGTTCCAAGAACTGAGCTAGCCAAGGTCAACACGGGAAGATAACCACAAGTGCCAGGACCAAAGGTTTGGCCAGGGAGATGATCAGGCAAGACGGTAGTCAGAAATGAGGTGAGAGGATAAGGTTGAGGTCAGAATGGACTGAAGGGTGCAGGTCTGAGCCCTGGAAGTGTTGGGTGTCCTTTTAACATAGCAAGAATTGGTTTCTTCTATTGTCTTCTTCCTTCTTTTTCCAAATATTATAGTAGTTTCAAACACTGAAAAATGTGAGTCTCTGCATTGCAAAAATGAGCCAAAAGAAATAGGATGAGCCACTAGTAATAGATATTATTTATTGCTATGTGCCAAATATTGAATGAGAGCTAAGCCTCTCAATAAATCTGAGATGATGTCAGCATGATCGTCCCCACCTGGAAAGTGAAAAAACTGAGCCTAATTTGACTTGCCCTGTCACATACCCAGCATGTGGCACAGTGCTGGTTCAGTCCAATTCCAGTCACCCCAAGGAGATTCATTTGCTCGCACGCCCAGTCCAGGCTTCCTGTGAATTAACAGAAATTGCGTCATCACACCCAGCTCCACACCTCACCAAAGGCCACCTCTTCTGTCACCAGGAAAGTGACGGGCTCATGCTGACGCTGGTTATCCTCACACATTTCCATTATATGGTGGGGTTTTATGAGATTGTACCACAGGCTGTTTTTCAAATTTATTTAATTCATCCATCATGCTCTGAAGCCATTTGCTTTTTTATATTGGACAGATGTAATGAGATTTTGGACACTAAAAAATGTTTTTATTAAAAGTTATGACCCAGAGCTAGTTGGTAGGGGCTCTGCCATAAATCCCTAGAAGTGTGTGAATTTATAAAGGATGTAGCGACATAACCTTAACCTTTGGGGCCACACCATAGATTACAGGATCAGTTAGACTAATATTGCTTCCCCACCTCTGGCCAAATAATAGTAGTAATAATAATAGTAATCATTATTATTTTTATTTCTGTGGTTATCTGATGTGCTTGTGCCTTCTCTCTTCCTGGTGAGCCAGTGGCTGATAGTGGCAGGTAGCTGATGACAGAATTCACTGGTCTTTGGCCTGAAGACCTGGCTGCAGTGGGCACAGGCCCATGGGTTCTGCTCTGTTCTGCAGCCCTGGAGCTGGGGCCAAGCAACATAGCAGTCACATTTTCTAAAGACAGAATAAAAGTGATTTCTGCCATATGAAAAGGATTATGAGATTATTGGGTAATAGTTTCTCTACTCCCCTTTTGCCATCAGGAAGCTCTCCTCAAAATGAGGAAATGATGCAATTATTTCTTTTCAGGCGTAATAACTAAAATGGACTCATAATAACTAGAAGGTCAACATTATCAGAATTATATTACTGTTACACTGCTTAGACATCATTCAAAGAATGATGTAAATGACATGGAGAGTAACACGTGGACGTTTAATATATCTACATATATATAATATGTCTCAATATACATTACCTATATTATATATGTTATTTGGGGGACTTTGTTAAATTAACACTGGGTTATTGAATGGTGAGCTGCAATTCAACCAAAGATAACTGGGACTTGAAATAGAGAAGTTTATTACTAGGGTTATGGAGGAGATACACAGCTTACCTCAAGGGGGCCAGCAGGGAGTCAGGGTGGGTGAGGCAGAGAGGGCTTAGCTGGACCTTGGGAACATGCATGCCTTTATTAGGGCCCATAGGTAGAGTACTTCAGGGCTCTGGGACTACAGCTAGACTTTCACTAGAAAGGCAGGAGCTTGGGTAAACTTCCAAGGATCTTATCTGAGGGGCTCACCCTGAGAAGTGAAGAAGAATGCTTATATCATGGGCCTCCCTGGTGGCGCAAGGGGTTAAGCACCACACCTTGAAGCAGTCCACAGCCTCTGCAGCACGAGTTCGATCCCCATCCGGCCAGGGAGAAACCCACATGGGAGGCAGACCTCTCCTGTCTTGCCCGCTGCTGGCCTCAGCAGTGTATTTTAGTCAGTCTGCCTGTTCTGCTCCCCACTCTGTCTTTGGTGAATCCTCTCACCCCCCACATCTCTGGCCTGTACCCCAGCTCTTGTATGCATAAATAGAAAAATCTTTTTTTTTTATTTTTTTGTGTGTTTTTTAAAATATTTATTTTTAAATGGGGGACCATGTTAAGAACTTACCTTTACTTACATCTCTATGGGCTGTTGACCAGGGTTGTGCCCAGGACAGGGTTTATATCACTTCAAGGACTGGGCATGCTCCTTGGCCACACAAAATGGAAGCAAAGGCAGTAATAAGCAGTTTAGCAAAACTCTCAATAGTTATAAACAATAAAATTTAAAAATTAACAAAGAAATTAGATTTCATCAGCTGCCAGTTGCTTACATTAAAGCATGCATTGATGTATTTTTGAGCACTACTATATGTCAGGGCCTCTGTGAGCTGTTTGAGACTCAGGAACACAGGTGGAAGCTCAGTGTGTAATCAGAGTAGACCATGTGCTATTATTCCCAGAGGAGGATTTTTTAGTCCAGAGGACCAAAGAAAGCTTCCTGGTGACCTTCAGCTGAATTTGAAGAATTTGGTGAGCTTTGAGCTTACACAGATGAGCAGAGTATTTCAGGCAGAGAGCACAAGAGGCACAGAGCAATTCGAAGACTGCACCAAAGGATTGCATTCAGTTAAAGCACATGATAACACTTTTTCCTTTTAAAACAAAAATCACAAGGGTAAATATCATATTCTTATTGCTTACCAGTGTTGAGATGGGCTGGGTAAGGTTTGTCATTACAGGAAGATGGACTTCAAACTCACACACTTTCCATTGCTGTATTTCCTAAGCAGGCCTGTGTTAGCATCTGCTGTGAACATATTCCAGGGTTTTCACAGTACACTGGCGAACACTCCCGCCTACTGAGCCCATGGGAGTGTAAACCATAGATACCGTCATCATTAAACTCATAAATCCTTGTCATTTGTGTGTCATCCACTTCATCATTCATCGTCCCTTACACTTTCAGAATGGCCATCCATTTGAAGATTTTGAAGAACGGTTTGCTGCAGCCACCCCGGTAAGAATGAGAAGGTCCTGTCTGGTTAACTGTTTCATGTCATCACCTCATCGTTCATTTCATGCTCATAAGTCATGCCTTGTGGTTACAGAACAGAAATCTGCCCGTGGATTTTGATGAGATTTTTGAGGCAACAAAGGTAAGGCCTCCCAGGCTCTTACTACATGAGGGTGGTTATGTTCATTCTCTCGTATCCATGTTATCCTCACAGAGCTTGCAGGAATAGTAGATGATCTGCTCTGCTCTGCTCCTCTGGGTACCTATTCTAATGTCCACAGGAAGACAATTGGTAGGGCCTGCAATGAGGTCAAATTGTGTGTGTGTGTGTGTGCGTGCACATATTGGAGAGTAAGTGATACTCCTTTGTTTCATTCAACACATTTTTCAGTCTCCTGTCGTGTCCTAGGCACCCTCATACACCATCTCCAAGAACCTTATAGCTTAACCTAGTATAGCATAACCTAGTGAAACATTGCATAGAATCAGGTAGGAGAGTATAACATAGTAAAGCAGGGATTCAGATACATAGACAGGGTGTGCTAAGTGACCCATTGGGAATAAAAACTAGGAAAGGTTCATCAGTATACCCTGCAATAGATGTACTGGTTTGCAGCCAATGTTTGTTTATTCAGATTGGTTGATATACAAGCCAATGAATATTATCACCCCTGAGTACAGTGTTTGGAAAGCCTCTAGGACATGGGTCCTCACTTTGGCTGCAAATTAGAATCACCAAGAGAGCTTTTAAAGTTTCAGTTACTAGGCTATGCCTCAAACTAACTAAATCAGAATCTCTAGAGGTGGAAACCAGACATTAGTATTTTTGCCGCAGCTGTGGGAATTGAGAACCACTGATTTAAGATTATTGTATTAGCTGTTTTTTGCAGTGGGATGGAATGCAAACTTACTTAGGAAACCCATCCAAGAAAGAAAAAAGAAGTCCTCTAATTTGTGACCTGAATAATGGGTAGTAAACTGAATAGAGTGTTCTAGGGGGGAGTTTTAGGGGCATGTGCAAAGGCCCTGTGGTGATCCTTCCTTTTATAACCCGGTGGGCCTTTCTTCCATAACACTGCCTTGGCCTGTGTCTATAGGTTTGTCTTTCTCTGGAATAATGTGCTCTAAACAGTAGAAACAGAATGCCTTACTCATTTCTGTATCTCTTACTCTTGACTCAGTAGCTGATATACAGTAGGGACTCCATACTTTTTGTAAGTGAAGGAACTCCTGATGCCAAAACACAGAGAATGGGTCAGTGAGAACGTGTCTTGGAGGTCAGCCCAGGATATCTCAGCCTTCATCAGTGCCGCCTTCAGAAGTTCTGAGTAGGCGGGTCATAGAAATGTAGTTGTCCCAGTCTCGTTGAAAGAAGTATGAGGACTAATCTTGAAATAGCAGTTGTACAGATCTCCAGATTTTGGGGAAAACATCTCTTGTATCAAAGAATGGCTAGGGAAGGAACAAGCCTGATGGAGAATTAGGGGCTCCTCACTCAATAGTCAAGGACTGGACTTGGCAGCTTCCAGAGTCACCCAGTGTACCCTGGAAAATGCCCAGATCCAGGGGCAGAACTGGCTGTTGAAAGCCACACTTCTACCTGAAGATCTGATGAGCCAGTAACTTGAGGAGAGTAGCATATTCAGCTGACCTTCACGCTGACTTCTTCAGATTGCTTGGTGTGCACCATGGCTGACTGAGAAACCCTGGCTTCTAGTTACAGATATGTGGGACTGGACTTGTACCACTTAGAAAAGCTAACTAGGGCTTTGTGATTGATAGATGGTAGCCAGGGAGGAGGGATGGATGGAGGGCAATAGACAGACAGACAAAATTAGTGTTTCTTGGACTGTGGGTCAAGTCCAGCCTCCTTTAACCAACTTAATCAGTTAACTTACTTTAACTGATCAGAGGCAAGTAACTCAACCTCTCAGCCTCAGAGCGTTCATCTGTGTACCGTACACAGTGAGAGGTTACCCTGCACTGCCAACTTCATGGAGCTCAGTCAGCGTCAAAAATGATGATGATGTATTGGAAAATGTATTATAAACTATGAAGTGTGTTACAAATGTGAATAGTTATTTTTATTCTCTTGAGGTCATTAAAATGATTAATTACTACAATATTATCAGATGGAACATGGCTTATTAGGTTACAAATAAAGGACTGGGGTTAACATGGGGAGGGGGCTGTGAGAATAGAAAATATTCCAGATTCTCTATCACATAGGGTTATTAGAATTATTTTTAATTTTATGGCCTAAGAATCCCCTTTTTTCTATAAAATTTAATTAACTCAAGGTTCTATTTAAACAGCAAATCCAATGAAATGAAATAACAATCTATGTTTTATGTCTCTACATGTTTTTCTCGTTTAATCCTTGAGTGAAAATCATCTGGCAAGAGGAAAGTCTATAGCTCAAGAATGAAGGTTATTTTAAAAGTTGTGCTTAAGGAGAAAATTAGCCAATAAATTATATTTATGATGTTAGTAAAAGCATGCCACGAGTTCAGCACATTTGAAATGTAAATTGTGTGACTTAATTATTAACTTCATTTTAATATTTTCTTACACTGAAAATAGTTGTGGGCCATTTTAAAAGCATTGAGTACCATTTGCAAGAAAGCCCAGAGCTTCATTTGAAATGATTAAATAGAATTATTCCTCTTATGAATTTAGGAGAGAATCTAAAGAATTGGCAGAGTTTCACTAATAATATTAAATAGTGTTCATATGCTAAAGAAGGCTCCCTGAAGGCAGATGTGGAAGGCCACCTTGTTACTGTCTCCTAGCTCTGGGTCATTCCCCTATGAGAGAGAGCTAGTTGGTAAAGCATTGGGGGGAGAGACCGAAAGGCACTCAAGTTCCACCATGACCTGGCCACTGCCACTTTGCAGACTTCTTCCCCTGCTCTTCTGCTCACCTTCATGCTGGTAACCCCAAACTGCTTATAACCCACCTGTTCAGACCTCTTTTCTTTTTGCTTGTGTACTTTTTCTGCCTGGGGCATTTCTCTTCTTCATGGTTACCTGGTTAACAGCTCCTCTTCTTCTGGATTCAGATGGGCTGTTTTCTTTGGAAAGCCCTCATTGAACTTGTTTGCCAGAAGTTGACTGGCTCTCCTTCTGGGTTCTCCCACAGTGCCCCATAGAGACCTCTGTCGCCATCTCTCCTGCATCACCTTGAAATTATCTGCATCTGGGGATCATCCCCACCAGTCTATAGTCTTCATGTATATTGGAACTTGGTATTTCTCAATTTATACCCTGGCCATGCCTCGCAGCATGTCCAGCACCCGACAATTGTGCAATGTGTTGAAAAAATGGGATGTAGCTGGGAAGGAAAGTAATCTGAACCAGGCCATACTGTGTCATTATCCAATCTGAAAGCTTAAGGGGATCAGTGAAAGTGTGTTAGCAGGCTAAGTTTCTTTTATTTTAGGGAAAAAAAAAAGCCCTTTTGTGCCTTTTACACTACACTTAACCAAACTTCAAAGAAAGTCCTGCTATTCATTTTGTCAATACCTGTGCCAAGTAAATATTATCATCTCCCATGTCCAGGTAAGAAAACTATAGCATTGTGGGGATTGAAAGTGGTAGACCTCAGGTCTGTTCCCAGGCATGGGGCCTTTTCCAGCCCCCAGGGCTCACTGACTCAGCAGTAGGAGAGATTCCGTTATGCCTGGTAGAGCAGAATTCCATTGCAGGGTCCACGTGGCAGGCAGGCTGACTCCCCCTCCTCTGTACTGAGTGCTATTTTTAGGTGTCCCCCATTAGAAGCTATCACTTAAAATCTGAAGATGAGTAGGAAGTGTTTTTTTTTTTTTTTTCCCCTCGGTGGGTAGATCTGCAAAAAAAAAAAAAAAGCATGCAATTATATATTTTTCATAATTATGTCAAGCCATTTGGTTCCTGGCCATAGACTCCCTACAGTCTCTGGAGCTGGAAGTGTATGCATATTTATTTCTAAGTATATCTTAAAGGGTTTCTGGCGCTGCTACGGCTGGCCTTGCTCAGACACCGCATGATGGATGGGAATATAGATGATCCAGTGTCTGCAGTGATGGAGTTCCTGGGTGTGATTAATAGTGTATATACTGGGCTGGTTTGGATGCCCTTCCTGGTATTAAATGATATGTTTTCTTTTCTTCCAACTACATTTTTTATCCTAAAGACAGACCCTCTCGGGGCCTATCATTTGAGTGTGTGTTCCATAGGAAGAAAATTCACATCCCAGCCTGGTGACTTTGAGGTCACTTCTGTGAGACTCAGTTTATTCATCTATAAAAATGGGGATGATGACTTCTACCTAGCAGGGTCAGAGATATTGGGAGCATTTACTGAGACATGGCTATGAATCCCTGTCTTGCAGTGTGAGCACATTCTGTCCATGTGGATACACTTGGGAAAGTAAAACAAATGACGGGATTGCCTGCTTGTCTTTATCTCTTGGAGAAGAGAAAACGTATTGGCATTTGATGTTAAATATGTGTGAAGTTATTGCTGTGGGAAGTAGCTAAGGAGCCATCTCCTTGACTAAGCCCAAGTAAACAGCCAGACACACAGATACAAGAATTGATTCTGGCCACATCCCAGACACTGTGAGATCATGAGGTAGAGTAATGACCAACGGGCTTATTGTTTCTATAGTCTTGATGAAAAAGAGAAATGTGTCCTTATTTCCTTCTGTTTTTAAAGAGCTACACAGCAACATCAGCTTTCCTTGTATTGACATTGTTATCTTTCTGTTTTTCAGGCTGTGACCCAATTAGAACTTTTTGGGGACATGTCCACCCCTCCTGATATAACCTCTCCCCCAGTAAGTATGCACTCCCTCCAGTCCCTGCAGAACTGCCCTTCTCCTGTTTCACATTGGCAAGCACATGGGCTTGGATAAAAGAGGCTTGCCAATGAATTTCAATACTGACTCTTTAAACCATGTGGTTTGGGCAAATTATTAACTATCAGTCTGTCACCATATGGCAGTTAAGGGCACCTCCCTAAGACCTACGCAGCTAGGGGCCAGCCCAGTAAAGGCAGCATCACTCCCTGCCCCTCTCTGCCCTGTCATCTTGCCTTTTCTTGTTCCTCCCATTCTCCATCTTTTTGTAACTTCCTGCTTCCATCTATTTGCCAAGATTCACTGAGTTTCTCATGAAGTTTTGATTCCAGCTTCAGTTTCAGCCTGGGTATCAGTTTCAGTCAGTGCTTGCAAGGCACAGAGATTGCAGGGAACACTAATTTGAAAATGAAAAGAAGGGGGGAAAAGAAAACTAAAGCAAAATAGAACCCCAGTGCTTTGAGAATAAGATGCATTCAAAGGCAACCCTGCAGCCACTGCAAAGAAAAAGGGCTAAATGGTCCCGCCAGCTCTTCCTGGTTCACTCCACAGAGGTGGGCGGAGAGCAGTCAACCGCAGCTGCACCAGCTGAAGCTGCTGGGCGGGGGCAGCTCCTCTGGGCACCGTATAGTTGTGCAAAGCAAGGGATGATGCTATGGTTCATTGGTGAGATGTGCATCACAGAAAAGGCGGTAACCTCACCACCAAGGACAGATGGCATGGCATCCTGCTGCCCACAGCTGCCGCCAGGGAATCAAGGCGCAGCTGCCCTGCTCCTAACACCTGATGTCCAAAGCAGCCATGCTGAAGGGGATGCCAGCTCATCTCTCTGCAGGGAAGCTGGACAGCTCTAGCACTTCATGTTCTCTCCTCTATCCTGGGGTTATCAGCTGTACCCTGGGCTCTCGGACTCTCAGAACCGTAGACTGTGAAGCTAGAAAGATCTTCTAGCCTCCTCCTCTTCATTTTATGAGCAAACCAAGTCCCAAAGAGGCAATGTGACGCTCCCAAGGTCACACAGAGGAAAAGAACAGTGTTGATCATCTTTAAAAGTGCTTAATTCAGCAACTCAGGGCTCTGTTTCTGGCCCTGAACCCAAGTGCAGTCCAAATGGATATTTAATAATGCTCAGAACAATGCCATTCGTCCTGCAAGCTGCTAGTCTAAAAATGGCCTTGTCTAATTGCCATGGTTTCAGGATTAATTGCTTGCCCCGGTCTGTTCCAAGGGGAAAAAAATTAAGGATATTATAGCATTGCGTAGACAAATGCTGTAGGAAAAAGAGTGCTGTAAATGGGTGTAGATCTTAGGAAGAAGTGAGCACTGGTGTTTTCATTTCATTGTCCCTCAACTTACCCACCAGTTTATGCAGCTGACTTTTCTGGAATTCCAGCCTGGGCCAATCACTATAGAATTTTCAGCTGCTCAGTTACCTTTTATTATTTTGTCCATCATCTTCTTGAAAATATCAACTTCCTTTATTGCAAGTGAAGATTCAACCCGAATTCTGGGAGGTATCAGAGTGCAAGGGTCTCTGTTCTGATCACAAAGCTCTATTTTGTTGTTTAGTCAACCAATTTAATGTGTGTTAAATGAGGTGGGCGCACAGTAGGTCCTGAGCTGGACACACAGTAGGTCCTGAATGGGTGTATATTGATTTAAAGTGACTGTTTCTATAGGGTGAAAACCAGATATTATGGGATAATTTGAGGGCCAGAAAATAGAACCAAGAGGTAAAGGCTCAAACTAGCCATGTGCCTAACATGGTACTGATTGAAATGCAGGATCTCATTTAATCCTCACAGAAGCTCTCAGGCAGTGTCATTTTTTTTTTTTTTTCTATCTTACCCATAGAGTTTTTCTAGCCAGCACATGGGCTGCATACCTCATAAGTGATCTGGACTATGGCTTGCCTCTGCAAAATCACTTCCCTTAATTCCTGCCCCTCCACCACTCCCGTAATTCCTATACCTGCTGCCTCCCATCCACCATGACCTCTGAGCCAGGGCTCCCAAGAGCCTCATGCATCCTATGCCTCTCTCTGTCTGACAGACTCCTGCTACTCCAGGTGATGCCTTTATCCCGTCTTCATCTCAGACACTTCCGGCGAGTGCAGACATGTTTGGCTCTGTACCTTTTGGCACTGCTGCTGTACCCTCAGGTAAGCCCTCTTCCATCTGATTCCCTTTCTTTGGTCTCTGCTCATCAAGAAAGTGAAAGGTCTGACTGAACCACCTGCTGCAGACTAGGCCAGAACAGCTCCAAAACAAAACACCATTGCTCCTTGTGACTCTTTGGGTGACTTGAGAAGGTACCATGTGCTGCCAGAGCATTTGGGGAGTGGGGATGTTTACAAAGCTCTGGTATGCACTGGCTAGAACCCAGTGGCATCTTTCACCTGAAAACTCAAGATCCCAGGTTACTTGGGTGCACAGCTTTAGGGAGTTTGGCTTTGCTACACACAGCACAACAAATCAGTGCAAGTTCATTTCCTCCTGTTCATTTCAGCCAGAAGGAAGGAAGGTGGTGAGTTGGGGATGTCCACAGATCTCTTGAGGTATGACTGATAGCAGGAACCTGCCTCACTTGGTGTAGAGCCAGGGAAGGGAGTTTCTTCACACAAAGAGAAAACCTAAGAGACAGCAAACCTCTACAGAGTGAAATGAGAGGGAGTTGGGCTGTTAGTGATTTAGAAGTATTTGTTCTATTTTCCAAATATTCTTTAACATGTATATACTACTTTTATAACTGGGTAATATGTATATGTATGCATATGTATATGTATATGTATGCATGTGTGTATAGTAACAGTACTGCAGATGAGTTAAAAATTGGGATCACGGACTTCTTGACTGGTTTCCATGGCATGTGGCACTCACCCCGTGCAGGCAGTACCCTCCACTTGGACATAGCCAAAGGGACATTAGTTCTGCTTGGTACATATACGGAGCCATAAATAGAGTTGTATTTCTTTTTCTAAGTACATATTTGAAATCTGTGGCTTCATCTTTCATTTTCTACTTTATTCTTATAAATAGAAAGCAGAGTTTGAATATTTTAGAATACAAATCTTCTTGCATTTTTTTCTATAAATAATTACCTTTAATTACATAGTGTTAGAAGCAAATTCTTGCCACCAAATATAAACCTTGCTGTTATTCAAAGTGAATTAAAAATTCATACTCTGTTCTGAAGTAGTTGCAGTTATTCATTCTGAGCCCAAGGATCTAAATTACAATTTACAACCTGCAGGTAGCCTAGAAATTCACTTAATAACTAAATTTCAGCTTTCCAATTGATCCTGTTTTACCCATCTCTAAAATGGGGCAGTGGTGATGACCTAAAATAGATATTTAAAATTTTCCCTTACCTAAAATAGATATTTAAAAATTCCTTGGGAAAAAATGTAATAGAATGTATCTTTTTAAATAATAAATGTGGAAATGAGTCCACTGTGCCCTCAGCCTTTTGTTTGTAATATCCATCCTTTGTCCCCATTATTTGATCCATGAAAATATGCTGGTATGGATGATGGGAACCCTACACCCCAAACTTCCTAATCTGCAGGCCTATTTATTGTATAAATAGCCACTGAGTGCTCACGCTATGCCAGGTGCTACTTTAGGTGCTGAACATACTCTCAACTACTGAGACCAACAGACTCCCACCTGAGAGAGCTTCCTTTCTACTGGGGAGACAGGAAACAACATAAAAATAAGTAACTTATGTGATATGATAGAAAATGGTGTGTTACGGACAGATGAACATGTAGAGCAGAGCATGGGGAACGGAAGGGAGATAGAAATGGAGGTTATAGTCTGAAAGGGTCCATGCGAAAGTGACATGTAAGCAGACTAGAAGGACAAGAGAAGGAGACACAAGAGAGTCGAGAGTAGCACAGGCAGAGGAGGGGCCCGTCCCCTCTGAGTCTCCATTCCTTGTTCTGTAAATGAGAGTGTAGGACCACGGCCATCTCCTGTGTCTGCCAGCCCTAACAACTGGTTAAAGGCAATTCCAGAAGGCCCTGCTCCAGGCTTCCTCCCCAGCCTGTGCCAGTTGAGGGTTTTGAAGACCTGTATTTCAGTCTTGACCTGCCATGTTGCATATGAGTCAAGCCCTTTTGCACATCCAGATTTGTGTTCTTTAGTTTCTAAGAGAGAGAGAAAGGGAGGGAGGGAGGGAGGAAGAAACTGATAGATTACCTCCAAATCTCAATTTTTAGAACATCAAGCTAAAATTATTTCCATTATCATACTTTTTCCCCTCTGCTTAAGATATGCTGAGGAAAAGAACTGGCTTCTGTTGGTGTTCAGCTCAGAACTTTGCCCTCCCTTAACTGACCTCACATGCCTCTGCAGCTATTGACTCTACAGTGACTCACCCCAAGCCCCCCCAGTCAGCGATGGGGAGACAAGGAAATGGACGGGGCCACACAGGATGATGGATGGGAAGCTAGAGGATTTTGTATCCAATGGGCTGGGTTTGAGTGCTGGCTTAGCCATTTTTTTTTATATAAGCTTTAGACTGCTGAACAAGTTACTTAGCCTGTGAGAACCAGAGGTTTTTGTTGTTTTTTTTGTGGTTTTTTTTTTTCATAATCAAGTTAAAAATAATACTTACCTTGCAATAATAGCATGGGAACTAAATGAGAGCATAAAGTTAAGTGCCTTGAAATACTCTGGCACATTATAGATGTTTGATATAGAAAATGCTATTATTGTTATTATCATTATTACTCTGATTTCTGAGTAGAAGAAAATATGCCTTGACCTACTATATTTTTTCCTTTACCTTTCTTGGAATGCTTTTCAAATGTGTGTATTAAGTTTTGGCCTTTGGTCTCTTAGCTGCACATGGTAGCATAGGATGGGGTTGGGGTGAGGCCGTGGGGAATGTACTGGGTGTGAATATAGACCTCTGCCATGAGCAAGCTGCATAGTGATACTCAGCTAAATCTCTCTGAACTTCAGGAAACCTACCTGTAAAATGGGAATGACAATAATTCTACCTCAGGTTAATTCATGAAGCAGAACATTTACAACAGTTCCTGGCTGTGTTTACACAAGTAAGCACCCCACAAATGTTTGCACCCTGTTCATCAGGAGCCCTGAGCCTGCTACCTAGGCCATAGGTAGCTGCATCAACCCCCCTCATTATACTGCAGTTTCTGGGGGCTTGTTGCAAGGATCAGCTTTTAAAAAGGGTAAGCTCTCGAGGGCAAGGGTTTATTTATTTATGTATTTATTTATGTACTACTATTTCATGCTTTGCTGCATTTCCAGAAACTAAAGCAGTGATTGGCACCCAGTAGGGCCCTTTTTGAATGAATGACTCAATCAAATGAAACAATGTCATTGAAAAATACCATCCAAGTTATTATAAATGTCAGGGAGTCCCTTAATTTTCAGTGTTTCTCCTACATTTTAGTCTATTTTTTCTTTTTTCAAATAATAAGGATATCCCCAGGTGCCAGCATCTGCTTATAAATTGCAATTTTCAACACTTTTAAAAAAACTAAATGCAAGGCAGTAATGCAGGTGTTTCCTTTTACTTCACAGCAAGGAGATTTATGATTGATCTGAACCCAGTGACATAAACAGATGCTCCTTGGCACCTCCTCCTTCTGCTGTTGAACATTAATGAGTAAATGGTTACTAAGCTGTTAAGTGACTGCAGTGGCAACCACCAAGTGGCTTCCCATGGCCAGTGTTCCTGCAGCCCCACCACTGAGTGTCCCTTCAGGCACGCACACTGCCATGTGGCCAGGGAGCTGTAGCTCACAGTAGTGAAGAGAGGTCAGGCTCAGGGATTCCCCCCCAGGAAAGGTGAGTGAGGCTCACAGGTTCCCAAACATGATACCCAATTACCCTGTGCTGCCTATTTTTTTCTTTTGAATATTGTACTTTGGTCTGAAGCAGATGGCACGAAGCCAGAGAGACATGCTAATAGCTCTCTCCAGAAGAGTGTGCACAGCCCATCTGTTGGTTCCTTGTAGAAAAAAAAGATGTGGGGGGTGGGGAACCTGCCACCAAGAGTAGACTCATCAGAGATCAGAGCACTTACAGATCTTGGAGTTTAATTGTACACTTAGAAAAGTGCAGTGACAGCATTTATTCCACGATGACTCATTCACCTTTCTAAAGAGCTTTTCCCCAGCCTACAGCATTTACAGAGCAGCTGATGTATACTGAAAATTATGCTAGACCCAGAGGGGAGAGAGAGATGTGAAAGGTTCCTTCTAGCAGGTGGTTTCTAGTCTAATGAGGGAAGAGAACAGGCAGTTGCAACACAATACGACATGTGCCATGAGAGAGATGAACATGGGCGCCAGCCCCCCAGGGCTAGAGGAGCAGGAAGGGGTCCACTTCACTGATGCTGGGTGAAGTCTCCACACATTAATAAGGGGCAGCCATGTGAGAAAGTGGGGGATGGCTTGCCAGCCTGGTGACCCAGCAGAGAGGAGAGAGCAGGATCCGCATTGTTTGCACCTGCATCAGGGAAAGATGCTGGTGGGAATACGAATTGAAAAGACGGATAAAGAGGTGGGAAGGAGCAGACCCCAAAGGTTCCTAAGCCGAGTTAAGACATGGGGGCCTTATACTCAAAACAATGAAGCATTATGTTTGCATTTTTGAACAGTCCTCTGGTGGCAATGAGGAACGTGAGATGGAAGCAAAGCAAAAACTAGGCTAACTAGAGGCTGAAGCTTCCTGTTCATTCACCAAAATGAGCGTCTGGGTTGGGGCAGTTGGAAGATCCGTGGGCAGATCTCCACTTTTTCACAATGCCCCAGTGCCCCCTTTTCACAAATGAGCAGTTGTAATGTTTTCTTTAATATCTTGAAATGAAATTCATGGATGATACAATCTACCTACACAGTTTTTCAAAAATCAATATAATGCTGCAACTGTATTCTAAAGAAGAAATGGAAGAAAGTTAATTCACAATGAAAAGATATGAGTTTCAATGAGGAAATACCCAGGTACAGCCACACTGTAAGACAGTCTAAGTAGTCAGGTATGTATCCCTAGAAATAGAATCACAGGGTCAGGTTGATGTAGGTGTGGCCTATTGGCACAAACACCGTGAGAAGCATTTCTGTCAGAGACCAGGATTTCCCAAAGTAGTGAACAATTCTTTTCTTTTTTTTAAGATATTATTTTTGTGTGAAAGAACTAAGGTGTAGGCCAGAGGTGGAGGAGTGAGAGGATTCACCAGAGACAGAGTGGGGAGCAGAACAGGCGGATCTACTGAAATACACTGTTGAGGGGAGCAGCGGGCAAGACAGCAGAGGTATGCTATGCCATGTGGGTCAGCTCGCTGGCCAGGGATTGAACTCAGGCCATCATGGTGGTAGCATTGAGACTTAGGCCCTAGGCCACCAGGGAGGCCCATGATGAACAACTCTTTAGAGTATTTTAAATGAAACAAAATACAGTCTTCCCTCAATATGCCTGGCTGTTATATTCTTGAAAAAAACAAATCCATTAAAACTGTGAATTCCATATAAATCAAAGCCCAACATTTGAATAATCATAAAGAGATTGCAGTGAAAAGGCTTGTTCTGAGAGGCCATGCAAGGCTAACTTCTCTACCCGCTGCACTTTCTGGGATGGTCATTTATCTTCTGTAGTCTGGCTCCTAAGGAGGGTGGGGACCACTAGAAACCCATGGAAGATTCCTCCAGGCTTGCAATGTGCTAGACTTGATAACTAGACTAGGTGCATACACCTTGCTAGGATCGGAAGTGGGCCCTGGCCATCTGCTCGAGACAGTTTGACACAGCATATGACACTGGTGGGTGGGGAAAGATGACCTCAGCTCAGATCCCAATACCACTGTACCAGCTGTGTGACCCTGAACAAGGTACATTTTCCCCTCTCTGAGTACCAGTTTCTTTATCCCCCAATGGGAGATATTAATACCTGCCCTGCAGGGATATTGTGAAGATGTAAAGAACTTAATACTGTACCTATCACATGGTAGGCATTTAACAAGTGGAAATTGTCATTATTATTATATGTGTCACCTAGGTGCCTTTTAAAAAGACTCATACATCAAACAATTATGATGTAATGTATCAGTAGATGAGTGCACCCTCCTGGGGATTTCCAGGGTCCAACCTATACCACTGTGCCGGTGCTCCAGAGTTGGCAGTAACCAACATTATTTTAATCTCTAAAATTGGCACCATCATCATCATAGAGAAACAATGCATAATAATACATATAGCTACCATTCACTTCTCTTATAGATATAAGCAAAGTAGTAAGTACTTCATCAGCTCTCTCATTCAAGTCATACAACTTGCTAACATCTGCTGTATGGTCACTGTCAGGTGGAGTAGTCCATGCCTTCAGTGTGTCATTTCCACTAATCTTTAAACCAGCCCCACGAAGCAGAAGGGTTTTTTTGCCCATTTTATACATAAGAAGATAGAGCCTTACAGAGCAGAAGTTCCCCCCAAATTCCAAGAATTGGCAGTCTGAATGTTAACCTAGGCCTCTAAAATGCCAGTGTTCAGATTGTTACTTTTCACCCTGCTTTGATGCTGAGAAAAAAGATGTTATAACCTGGTTTTACAACAAAGAGATTGACTCTGAGTGAGCCTGAGCAGTCAGAAATGTCCTCAGTCTAGCAAGAAGGGAGGCAAGACTCCAACCAGACTATGCTGATCTCCAGTCCTTTCCACTGAGCCTCACTGCCCTTTAAACCTTTAACAAATGTAGAAATATGATTATTGTTACCATCCCCCAGGTTTTTGCCTGGCTCGCTCCCTCACTCCATTCTGGTTTCTGTGTATGAATCCTCTCCTTAAAGAGGTTTTCCCTGCTGTGCCTCCCTAGTGGCACAAGGGGTTAAGTAAGTCTCAACACTATAAAGCTATTGGCAGGCTCTGTGGCATGAGTTCCATCCCAGCCAGGGAGCTGACCCACATGGCACAGCAGACCTCTCCTGTCTCGCCTGCTTCTCCCCTCAGCAGTGTATTTCAGTAGATCTGCCTGTTCTGCTCCTCACTCTGTCTCTGGTGAATCCTCTCACCCACCCATCCCCCACACCTCTGGCTTGCACCCCAGCTCTTTTGTGCATACATAATTACTTTTTTAAAAGGTTTTTGCCTGCCTAGAAGACCAGCTCTGTGACAGAGGGACTCGTGCCATGTTGTCTTTTCAGCCTCATCCCCAGCACACAGCGGCACTCAGCAGTGTTTGCAGTCATTTCACCCACAGGTTATTTGTACCCAAGATGTCTGACTCTTTTTTCCATGCTTCCAGGTTATGTTGCAATGGGCGCCGTCCTCCCATCCTTCTGGGGCCAGCAGCCCCTCGTCCAGCAGCAGATCGCCATGGGTGCTCAGCCACCAGTCACTCAGGTGATGCCGGGGGCTCAGCCCATCGCATGGGGCCAGCCGGGTCTCTTCCCTGCCACTCAGCAGCCCTGGCCAGCTGTGGCCGGGCAGTTTCCGCCAGCCGCCTTCATGCCCACACAAACTGTTATGCCTTTGCCAGCCGCCATGTTCCAAGGTCCCCTCACCCCCCTTGCGACTGTCCCAGCCACGGGTGACTCCGCCAGGTCAAGTCCACAGACCGACAAGCCCAGGCAGAAAATGGGGAAAGAAATGTTTAAGGATTTCCAGATGGCCCAGCCTCCGCCAGTGCCCTCTCGCAAACCCGACCAACCCTCCCTCACCTGTACCTCAGAGGCCTTCTCCAGTTACTTCAACAAAGTCGGGGTGGCACAGGATACAGATGACTGTGATGACTTTGACATCTCCCAGTTAAATTTGACCCCTGTGACTTCTACCACACCATCGACCAACTCACGTGAGTATCCTGCTTTGGAGACATAAACCCAATAAGTGCCAAGCTTTGTTTCTGGAGACTGGGTTTTTGGAGTCAGGACTCATCTAGTTACATTCAACAGACCTCTTTGTTTAGATAATAATTAAAATAGCTTCCAATTTGGGGGTTCAATTATAATGCAGGGACCATCGCCAGATGCCTTCTGTTTAGTATTTTTATTCTCATGGCCATACTTAGGGCAAGTATTGTTTTTAAACTAGTTTAACGGAAAATTAAAGTGAGGTTCAAGGGCAAAGAGATAGAGAAAAATGATAGAATTGAATACAAATCTGCTGTTTTTCCACCATGTCCCTCTGTCTTTTACATTTTTGTTCTTTTGCTCATTCATTCATTTATATGTACACAGCTACAGCATACAAATTTCTGCAATGACATAATTGAAACAAAAAGGGATGGTAAATATGAAGTTTTTAAATGTTAGTATTTTTACTAACAAGGGGAAGGAGACCCAATGGACTATGTGGAGGTTTATGGGTGCCTGGGTGGTGGGTGGGGTAATATACATCTGAAGAGGGGTGAACCTACACCCCTAAATTATAAAGTGTCGTAAAACAATGTTACACCAATAAAAATAATACAATTTTTTCAAAGTCTAGCAACAAGGGAAAAAAAAAAAAAACAGCAGAACATTAAGGCCAGGAGGAAAGTTAGGTCAGAGATGAGCATCCACAAGACTCATTGTTGAAACCAGATTTCAGCTCTGAGCTTCTGGTGGTCAAGGACAAAAGAAGATGGGCTATAGCAGAACACTCTCACTGCAAACCAGAGAGCAGGTTCATTCCTTATGAGTTCTGTGCCTGTGGCAAGCCATTTTATTTTGATGAAACTCGGTTTCTTCATCTACCTTAATCTAAGGGTTATGGAAAGGATTCACTAAGTCATGGAAAAAAACATTCTATACCTTGTGGAGTTTGAGGCGTTTTACCATCATTATTGCTCATGAAGGTGTTCTTTGCAGAGCTCTGGACCAAGGGTCTCATCTTGGCTCCTCAGCCACAACCTGTTTTTGAGAAGCGTGACTGCCTTAATCTTCACAGTGTCACAGGTGAAAGAAGTGAGTTGGGGTGAATGAGCAGTGAGCTTCCTCCTACTTTGGGCATTCAGTGAGTCTGCCCTGGCTCACTTTTCTACAGAAAGCATCTGGAAAACTGGAACCATACAGCGAATCAGAACCCAGACACACTTGAGCACACATATGCTTGGTCGACACCCTTCAGGGAAGGTGTCTGGTGATGCAGCTGCCTTGACAATTGATAAGGGGAAAGAAAAGGCTCGTGGAACAATGAGTTTGGCGTTTTCATTACTGTCACGGATGATACGGATCACTGCTTGGCCAATACCGTGAATTGTCCCAAAAACACATCTAATGTTAACACAATTAGATAGTGTCGTTTCAGCCAGCTTCACGATGCTGTTCTGAAAATGAATGCCTTCTATGTGTATAAACAATGTATTTCCAACCAGGCCATCTGATCTACACAGTGGGGGCATCTCTATTAACTCCAACTCACGGGGTTTCAGTGAAGAAAAAATGAAATGCTAAAGAAATGATAGCCTTGCATATATAAGCAAGCCTTGTTTTAAAAACAAGTGCCTCTCTCTCAGTGGGCTTTCATGCCAGTTCAAATAAAAGAAAGAAGTTTACATACTCTGAGGACAGGGACTATTCTTAATTGTTCCTGCATTCCTCACCGAGTGTCTAGTGCACATGGGAGGCAGTTGGGAAAAATAGAGAAGGAAACATAGGAATTCAGTTACTGTTGAGGTTTAGAGCAGAGTATGCAATCTTGGCACTGATGATTTCCCGGGACAATCAAGGCTTTCCTATGCACCAGAGAACATTGAGCAGCATCCCTGGCCTGTGCACAGTACATGCCAGTAGCATATATCCTCTCCTCACAGTCCGGACCACCAGAAATAACCCAGAATGTTGCCAAATGTCTCCTGAATATGAAATTCCCGCAAGTTAAGAACCCCTATTTTATTATTTTCAAATTAAATTAGTTTATATTCTTACACCATTTTCATTTTTGTACAATATTCGATTTCTCCCCTCAGGTGTAGTCCGCATAGTTCTCCCACCACCTCCGCACCCGTGATCTATCTCCACAGTCCCTTGTGCTTTTCCCTCCCCTGTTTTGATGCCTCTCTCTCCCTCTCTCCTGCTGTATGTATGCCTCAGATCTATGGTCAGCTTGCTAGATTTGTCTCTTTCCTGATGCTTTGTTTTGTTTCCCTATATTATGAATATAAGTGAAACCATCCGATACTTACCTTTTTCTGACTTATTTCACTTATCATATCCCAGCTCCATCCATGTTGTTGCAAATGGCATGAGTTTCTCTTTTTTGATTGCTGAGTAATATTCCATTGTGTACATATACTACATTTCTTGATCCATTCATCTGTTTTGGGGCATTTGAGTTGTTTCTATATCTTAGCTATTGTAAATTGTGCTGCAATAAACATAGGATTATGTTATATTAATTATATTAACATAGTTTTATTTTTATTGCAAATTAGTGTTTTTGTGAGAACCCTGTTTTAGAGAATAGAGGTAGTCTATAATACCTTTTGAAGATGAAGACACTCACATAAACTCAGTTTTGCTTCCCCTTGATTTTATCCTGTAAGTATGAGCTGTATACCTCTCAGAATTGGCAGCTCCAGGTTCTCAGCCTGTAGTAAGCAATAAACCCCTTCCAGCACTGTTCAGAAACCCATTTGCTCTAAAATCTATTAAACATCCACCATGTATCAGGGTGTTTTTTTATGGCTTATCTCTCTCACACCAACTATAATTTGTTCCATAATCATCTCATGAAACAAAACTGACTGCCTTTTAAATTTTACAAAAAAACTTCATTTCTCTTATTTTGAAGAAAATGAATGAAATCAATATTTATATCTTCTTATTCATCAGCATCTCCTTTAGAATATTTTGAATGGCATTAGTTAGAACAAAATTAAACCTCAAAAAGAAATAAGAAAGCATAGTTGGCGAGTGTCAGACAGACGTGTTAAATTCCAGAGCTCCTTGCTCATAGCAGTGTTAACCCTGAGAAGGTCACTTCACCTCCTAGCCTGCCCTGCATTCATCAGAAAGAAACAATAGGTGAATACCACCTTGTAGTGTTTTTGTTTAAGAGCATGGTGAATGCAGAGTGCCTAGCACAGTGCCTTAACTCCTGGCCTACAGTAAATGACACCACTATTCTAAAATAGGTTCATCAAGCAAAAGTTACTCCCCACATGTTATAACCACTCACTGTCTGATAAGGAGCCAGATTTTGTAAATTCTGGACAGTTACAGTAGAAGACCTTATTGATGGCATTTGGAATTCAACTACTAAATCAAACCCCAAGTGAGGGGTAGCTCACTTAGGGTTGAGCCAGTGACTGTATTTCAATTTTCAATGCCAAAACAGAAATTATCTGAGTAACAGTAGCTTCAATTGGTGTATTTGTTATAAACCTCTGGAACAAATGAAACAAGGAAAATGTGGGGGGGGGGGGCAGGGCAGGAAATGCATATCCTTATGGAATGGGGGTAAAGTGCTAGCTGTGAAGTTGCTATCAACTGTATCCATTTCCCCAGATCTTGGAGACGCTCTTTCTTGAGTTTGTATTTACAAATGCCTACTGCGTGCCAGGATACAAGACCTGGTCCTACCAGTTGCCTCTGTGTTGCCTTGAGCTATTGTGCTTAACTGTAAAATGAGGATAGCCCCTGCCTCACAGAGGTATTTCTACCTCTTTGAGGGTTATAAGTACTGTCTGAAAAATTCCTGACTGTGTCTGACACATAGAAGGTACTCAAGTATAAACCACTGTCCTCTGATCATGTTTCCCTTTTTAGACAAATTAAATGATATTTAAAAAGAGAGGGTAAAGGAAAAACTACAACTTAGTGGCTCTGAACTTGAGTGTGCAGACATCTGAGTTTCTGATTCACTAGGCCCGGGGTGGGGGTCCAAGAATTTGCATTTCTCACAAGTGCCCAGATGTGACTGCTGTTACTGCTACCCCAGGGGCCCTTCTTTGAGCCCCTGCCTTGGCCAGGCATGTGGACCTGCTCCTTCCTTACCTCCTGGGTGTGAGGCTACAAGAAAAAATATGTGCAGAGAATATGAAGTTGTTCTCCTTAGGGATTTGGGGTGTGGTGAGAAAAGTTCTGTGATTTGACCCGAACATAACCAGATCTCTGAGGTTTCTGTGGCCTGTAACTAGCCACAGTCAGACTTATAATGTTTCCTCTCTTTGCCTGGTCTCCATGTAGCTCCAACTCCAGCCCCTAGACAGAGCTCTCCATCCAAATCCTCTGCATCCCATGCCAGCGATCCCACCACAGATGACATCTTTGAAGAGGGCTTTGAAAGTCCCAGCAAAAGTGAAGAGCAAGAAGCTGTAAGTGACCGCTTTGTTCTTTCTGCTTTTATTTTTCCTTAAAATTAAAACATCTATGTCTGATATGGACAATGCATGAGAAAAAAACTATAAAGAAATGAATGCTGGCTCAGACTTTTAAGTTCTAAAGGGGCTACTAAAGGGGCTTTTTCTTTACGTTCAAATGAGCAGCTAAAAACCTTTGTCCTTTTATTACTCTGTTACTACAAGTTCTTGCTTTGTGGGTGTGGCATCCTCTATGTGAAGTTGCTGCATCCTTTAAAGTAACTGATAATATGCGTGCATGAAAATATGCCCAGCTTATATGTCTTATATTGTCAATTGTTGAAAAAGAAAAAAGAAAAAAAGTGTTATCTTCTTGTGTTCTAGCCTGATGGATCACAGGCCTCATCCAACAGTGATCCATTTGGTGAGCCCAGTGGGGAGCCCAGTGGTGATAATATAAGTCCACAGGCCGGTAGCTAGATAGCACAGGTCTGGGTAGGTATCTGTCCTTTTTAATCTCCTTCACCTTTAAGCCATCTGCCTTGCCTCTCGCTTGTTCGGAAGCCATATTCTCAGTGTTCCACCATCTCCCCTTGCTTGCCATCTCCCTGATGTTTGGGTCATCTTTCCTTGCCTGATGTCTGTCTTTCACCTTGTTTGTCCTCATGGCTGCATGACCTTTGACATGTATTGGGAGGTAGGAGTGAGGAGTGGGGAATCATCCTAGTCTTTTATCAGTGACATGTTCTGGGTGGGTAGCAGTAGTGGAATATGGCATGGTCAGTACTACCTAAGGTGGACTCGGTTTCTGAAAGCATCCCCATTCTGAGATGGACACCTTCTTCCCACCCTGATTATTTCCCGGTGAGATGTGGTCCAGGTGCTTTCATCTTTTAAAGGAGGTGTCACTGCATTTGCCTACACTCCACAGATATAAAGAGGTCACCAAGTAAACACGCTGAGGAGCCAGACTAGGAAACAAAACAAAGCTTGAAATAAGATCAGTAGTGATGTAAGGTCGTGGAGGCTAGCCCATTTCATCCAGCCAGGGGCAGAGGCTTGGGGGTCCCAAATCCTTTGATGTGAAAGTGAAATTCAAAGCCCAACGACATGTAACTTTTGCTTCTGAGGCGCTGCCATCAGCATCTGTTCTGCAGCGTGGTTTGCCACCCAACCACTTCAGATTCCATCAGCAGCTACTTTGAGAGAGGTGTAGTTACATTTACCACAAGTGGCTTTTGACACTTGAATTTCAATACATCTGATTTGATTGAAAGAAAGAGGAGCTGATGAAGCAAACCTTCTCAGGAGGCAGAAGTACACCTTGTTACCTAGATGTGATTTCTAAGGTCACTCCTTGACAAATGTGTTCAATTTTCAGATACTTGCCCGGTTGTCCATGAATGTGTAGGACAGCAAGGCTGTCCCCACAGAGCTCCTTTTTTACTCCTGAACAGCATGGTCAGAACCATTAAAATGGTAAATAGTTTTCACCATTCATAAATGGGTTCTGAGGCTACCTTGGAATCATTCTCAGTTCACATATAAGTTATTTTGACTGCTATTGAAAATAAATGCAGTGTTTTGAAAGTGCATTTATTAATAGATTTTAGGATGAAAGAACATAACATACCTTCTGTGTTGCTACGTTTTATCAGTAAAGCAACACATAATAATACATTATGCCCCCACAGAATCATGGAATACTCATCTGAAAATTCAGCCTTGCAAAGCTATTTGGGGAGCCAGTGAATTAAAGGCAATGTCAATGTTGTAGGAAAGAGAAAAGTTGGGGATTATGGTTGGAATCCTTGGGAAGATTACCCAAGAGGTTTTCTACCCCTTGTGTATATTTTATTTAATGTGCTCAACCTTGCCTTGAAAAATTTGATGAATGAAGCGGAGGTGACAAGGGCCATTCATCAGGATAACAGTAAACATCATCCTAAAATTGAAGTTCTTCTAAAAAACAAGATGACTTACACCATTTGCAGATCTATGTATCAAACTCTCATCTTTCTGAGCCTGTTCAGCTTGAGACAGTTGCACAAGCTGAACTGTCTCAACAGGCTTCAGCTCATTCTACACTGGATGCTCCACCCAGAACCCCAGGCCACAGATGAATTGTAAGTGGACGTAGCATGGTGTAGTGAGAAGAGCTTAGGATTTGGAACTGGAGTTCAAATTCTAGCTAAGCTACTAATCACAAGAAATCTTGGGCAAATCTTGGGCAAAAACCAAAATTTCTTTTGTGTCTTCATCTGCTAGCAAGGGCTTATGTTACCTATCATATTAACTGAGATAGCGTATGTTGGGTCTCTAGCATGAAGACAGGCAGTTAGCTTAAAACTTAGCTAAAATTCTGTGTTTGGAAGGACAGAGTTGAGAATCTGTTTCCTTCACTCACTATGTGATCCTGATGGATTTTCATAATAATCTTGCATTTTTTTTTGAAAAATAAGGATGAAAGGTAGCACCCTCCCAGCGTTTGGGATAAATGAGGCGGTGATATGTTTGGAGCTCTCAGCAGTGTCTGATGTGGAGAAGGCAGCCAATAAATATTAGCTGCCATCACCACTTCCACCATCATCATCACCATCACTGATGTGTATGCTGAATAAATTTTGGTTCCCTATTTTCTTGAATTTTTTGTTTAGCCCGTATGTTTAAAAAAAAAAGAAAAAAATTACCATAAGGGCCCAGGGCCATTGACCGGGAGGGTTTGCTTCATACTTTTTATCTTCAGATAATTAATTTTCAGTATGCCATGAGATAGCTTTAGGGGAAAAGAAGAAAAACCCCACTTTTTAGCTATCTGGAATCCCCTAGCCCATAATCAGAAACACCTCAATCTGGGCCTCACAAGCCACCTCTAACTTCTAAAACATGAACAGTCTTAGACTTACATGTAAATCATGATAAGTAACTCCCAGCTCTAAAGGAAGGCTAAACTGTAATCTTTTTTTTAAAAAGATTTATTTATTTACTATGCATATAAGAACTAGGGTACTGGCGGGTAAGAGGATTTACCAGAGACAGAGTGGGGAGCAGAACAGGCAGATCTACTGAAATACACTGCCAAGGGGAGCAGTGTGCAAGACAGGAGCAGTCTGCTGCACCGTATGTGGGTTAGCGCCCTGGCCAGGGATTGAATTGATAGCCCTGAGACTTAACCCCTCGGCCACCAGGCAGGCCCCCATAGACTGTAATCTTCAATGAAGCAATTTTCTGCCTCTCAAAGCTCACTTGGCAATCATACAACCGATGCAACCGATGCCAGCCTTGCAGACATAGTCCCTAAAACACCCAGGAGGGAATTTCAAGTGAACTTTCTGTGCCCTCCATCAACAGCAGCATAAGCTACCCCTGCTCTTTCTGTTGTCATCTCATTCACCCTTCCACCCAACAGGAAATGTACTGACTTCAATTTCTAGTGCCTTTCTAGACATTTGGAGGAGGAATGTTGTGCAGGATAGTCACATCCATAGCTCTGTTACCTCCTCCAGTTGAGAAGTAGGATTCCCATCCTTCCTATCACCTGGAAACATTTTATCCAGCTGCTTTTTGTTAGAAATACCCACACAGTTGAGTAGACAGAAGTGACACTGTTGATAAGTTAAAGCCATATCACATGCTAGTAAAAGGAAGCCAACAGACTCAGTTTTCACAAGTAGAAACTTCAGGGCCAATCTCAAACAGTATTTCTTTTTTAACAATAAAGGGAACTATCTTCAATTATTTTATCCCCACTCCCCCATTTTTCCCAGATCCGTGCTTCTGGGAGAATCACATATCTTTGAAAGACCATGTCAACGGGGGCAAAAAAGAACCAAAATAATATTATAATGACTGTTGTGGGGATGGCAGGTAATTTATACTTCACTGATGTGTTGCTGGAGCAATTTTAAGGGTGAAATGTTAGCTTTTGAGGAGATGAAAGAAAAATGAAAACATTTATTTGGTTAAATGACTAAGTAAATAAACTGCCTGTCAGACTTTCCCAGCTGTCAAGTCAAAGTAGCATCTGTAACAATAGTGAGTTGTTTGTTCGCTCTGCCTAAATAACAATAGAAACTGCTATAAATAATAAGTTGCTGCTATTTTTTATACCAAACTTTGTAATGGGAACCCAAGATATAAGAAATGCTACCTGATGGATTTCTAGTGTCCAAGGGAAAAAGAAGCTGAACTTGAAATGCTTTGGGAAAAAAGAAAATTGGGAGATTGGGGTGGGGGAGAGAAAGAAAGGCAGAGTTAAGGACAAGGGACTTGGATCTGAATTATGGTTTCCTCAAATAGATGACCTTAGGCAAGCATGTAACCCCTTTATACCCTAGTTTTCTCATATTGATATAGATGGATTTCTCAATGCAGCAACTTCCTCCCTAGACTATCCCAGAATCAGAAAATATCATGAATATGAAGTGCTTTGTAAGCTATCAAAGTAAAATTCATATATTGGGTATTATTATGACGATTCTATTTTAAGGAGAACCTAACAGTGGAGCCTTAAAACAAAGAACCCCCAAAACAGAAAAGAATCTGTCCATTTCATAGGCAAAGCACTCAGAATCAGCTTCAACTCAAGCTTTTGTATACCCCCAACTTCTGACTTGGGGATCTGGGTGCCAGTCTTTGTGTTAAGGAGCACATGCTAGAGAGGAAAGAGGAAAGAACAGCATGCTAGAGAGGAAAGAAGGCAAGTTGATGTTGGGACAGTGGAACTTGAGGTGGCCTTGAGATATCCAAGTAGAGATGACCGGAGGCTTCTAGATCTAAGACTCTGGCGGCTCAAGGAGAAAACCAAACCAGAGGTGAAGATTTCAACATTGTTTTAACCTACTGTGATTGTGGGCCCAAGTAGAAGACATTGATCCTTTAAACCAGATGCTCGATATGTTCATGTTTTATGGGATGTCGGCACTTTATTGCAACTACTCTACTGTAGCAGCAGGTAAACAGCAAAAGACAGTGCATGAACAAATGAGCATGGTTGTGTTCCAATAATACTTATTTACAGAAATCAGGCAGGCACCAAAGTTGACCAGGAGCCACAGTTTGATAATCTCTGATTTAGACCATGCTCACTATTCCTAGTGAGCAGAAGGTAATCACAATGCCTTTAATTTACTACTATGAGTAAAATATATTTTAAAATTGCTTTCATAAAGATCTTTGATTCGATCCTCAGATGAACACTGTATTTTTATTATTTCCATTTATCCAATAGGACAGGTGAAGTAGAAGGGCTAATGACTTGCTGAAATCATAAGATTCACATACAGTGGGACTGGATTTGAATCCTGACCCAGATTAAATGATTCAAGACCACTCACACAGGACTTGGATGCCTGGGTTAGCAGCTTCTCTTTGACTTAATCACGGTGTGGCTCAATTGTTGTGTGATGTGAAGCGAGTGGCTTAATTTCTGACCTGTGGTTTCCTCTTCTGTAAACTACCCACAAATACTTCCAACTCTGACATTCCAGAACTTC